TTTCTCTGATTAGAAATAATCTCCATTTTGTGATCGCAGAGACAATTGTTAAGGTGTTTGTCAATCGTATCGGTGTTTCCCATTATCTGTAACCTGCTGTTAGAACCAAGCCCTTAGAGTTTAAGTTGTAAAGATGCGACGCTTGAAATTTCTTCAATAATGTAAGCTTACTTAAACGAGGTTGAGTTGTTCAAATGCTATTGGCTGCGACACATATATGACAAGTAGTCTGTTATTAAAATCTTTGAGTTCTGTCTGTAACTGCATGATCGAGTCAAGAACACAATAAAATTACTTGTTGCTGAGCGAAGTTCTGATCCACCTGATATAAATAAAGATCTCGGTTAGAAGCAGGGCACCTCTCGCTCACCGTGGAACCTAATTCCCAAGCAGCGAAAAAGTCCTTGTTAGACAAGTAATGGAAAATGCGAACCAAAATGCCGCTATGGTATTTGTACCATGGAGATCCAAGACCAGGGTGAAATTGAGTGTCTGTCTGATCCTCTGGTGATGAGAATGAGGGACTGGATGAGGTTTGACTGATACGTGGGAATTGGTTAAACTTTTAACTGTCAGCTGACAAATGACTCGCTTTCTACCTGGCAGAGAGAGACCTGTTTTTTGTGGTTACTGGCTTTTAGCCAGTCGCCAATATATGTCATCATGTGCGTTAGTAAGTAAGTTGAGATAGTCCGTGACTTTTCGGATATCACGAAGCGAGGCCGAAAACACCTCGAGATTTGGTCAAGTTCTTTTGATCGATTTTCACCTTTAAAACGCGAGTTTTAATAAAAACTAGACGCTTTGCTGCGTGNACCTGATATAAATAAAGATCTCGGTTAGAAGCAGGGCACCTCTCGCTCACCGTGGAACCTAATTCCCAAGCAGCGAAAAGGTCCTTGTTAGACAAGTAATGGAAAATGCGAACCAAAATGCTGCTATGGTATTTGTGCCATGGAGATCCAAGACCAGGGTGAAATTGAGTGTCTGTCTGATCCTCTGGTGATGAGAATGAGGGACTGGATGAGGTTTGACTGATACGTGGGAATTGGTAAAACTTTTAACTGTCAGCTGACAAATGACTCGCTTTCTACCTGGCAGAGAGAGACCTGAGATCCGCAAAAATTACAGATAGCTGATAAATGGGCTAAAATATTAACTGATAACTGATAACTGGTTTTCCAACACCCCATACAGACCCTCGGAAAATGATTACAGTAAAATCCCGCGTGTAAGAACTTATTTTTGTGGTTACTGGCTTCTAGCCAGTCACCAATATATGTCATCATGTACGTTAGTAAGATAGTCCGTGACTTTTCGGATCTCACGAAGCGAGGCCGAAAACACCTCGAGATTTGCTCAGGTTCTTTTGATCGATTTTCACCTTTTTTGACCTTTTTTCACCTTTAAAACGCGAGTTTTAATAAAAATAACTACCTTTACTGTTTAAAATTGGTTTCGTTTTATTTGATATCACTATTGGAGTGAAAAAAAAAAANACTACTATTACTGTTTAAAAGTGGCTCCGTTTAATTTGATATCACTATTGGAGTGAAAAAAAACTTTGCTAGCAGAAACGTAGCGTTACGGAGCATTACGAATGACTACGATCCCTAGCCCCTGACCGCCCGAAGGACATTGCAGACTCGTTTTCCCACGCTCTTACCACATGACGTGAAATTGTTTGGATAATCAGGTGAGTAACTGCAATGTTTTCTCAGTTTCTACCTTTCTTTCTCGTATAACCAGGCACAGCTTTCACCGATTGTGTCAAAGTGTTTTTCTCGAAGAATCTTGTAAGATTTTGAGCGGTTTCCGAAAGGTTTTGATTGGAAATACGATTGTTACGTGCCTTGAAAGCATTCATCGAGCAAATAAATGCACTTTCTCAAATTGATGTTTATTTCATTTCTCGTACCACCCGGAATTAGATGTAATGTTTGTTTCATTATAAATACTTGTTCCAATAACAAATGGAAACTGAAATATTCTACTAAGTCAGGATTCTTCGACAGGATTATAAAACGCTCTGCTGGCAAAAAGCCATCTGAACCAAGTCGATAACAGTCGATAAGATCTCTTCATACGGACTTTCTGGATTCTCTATTATTAAAATACTGACAGATCAGGAATGTTTGCTTCATATAAGCTCATATAAAGATAATTTCAGCGTCGTCAGTTCACCATCGTTTAAGCTTAAAAGGATAAAACTTCTACTATCTCTCAAGGATGTCATTGCTTTTGTGAAAAGCTCTTATGTAGCTCAAGTAATTGATGTCGCCGTCCGATACGAAACTGAAAGAAAAAAAATAAAAAAACACTTTGTGTTTGGCGACAAGACGGGACTAGCGAATCAAAGTTTCCCGCGTCCACTGCCGTTCCCTTCCTGGCCTTCTTCTCCTCTCATCGAGTATACGTGTCAAGCATTTAAATTTGTAAACAAATATTTTTCAATGAAACTCAAAGTCTGCAACTCTTTTTTGTTCCATTAATTGTGGTTATTGACTATCCAGTAACCACATGTCCTCTCAGAGGGCTTTTGTTTATAGTCTGGCAAAATAGGTTCTCGTATTTTGGGGTAGTTATTGGCGATTCAGCCAAGTAGGTTCTTAATTAGTTTCTTAATTTCTGTGAAGGAGATATAGTTGTAAATTACCAGAAGAATAAATAAACTTGGGTTTGGTCCTTAACTGCATGTATCTTATGAGATGTTTTGGTGTGCTGTATCGCGGTATATTTTTACGAGTTGTGCCGTATTTTGACGAGCCAAAATACAAACAACGAATAAAAATATACAGCGATACTACACACCAAAACATCTAATAAGAGATTTATTATCCAACTGCTGTAGTCAATAAATTTATTTATGAAAGGGGGAGAATGTGACAATTTTGCGTGCACGCGCCGACCTGTACGGCAAACAGGTTTTCTACTGTACAAATAACTGTACAAATAACTGTACAAATAACTGTACAAATAACTGTACAAATAACTGTACAAA